AGGTAAACCAGCGCTTTTTTATCGCATTGAAGAGGTTAAGTCTTTTAATTTGTCCTCCAGTAAATGAATACGTACAACCGATACAAACCGATTACAATAAAATAAAGAATGTCTAATTACTTAATGTGAACACCTGCCTTGACGGCCTTATTTCACGGTGGTGTTTTTCACCCACTGTGGGGGCGATTTTTGTACATGTGCCGGTCCATGTACAAGCACTTTGCTGAAGTACTCGAGCTATCTTATCTCTTGCCATAGTAGCCCCGTTGCGGAATGACAGGCATCATGGAATCAATTCCTAAAATCACTGGTCTAAAGTCAATAGAAGGGGCGACCCTAACATCAGATAAAATCAATCTTCTGATAAACCGGAAGGTGACCAACCTTTAGATGTCATGAAAGATTGCAATATTTAAAATGCGATCCCCATCAACTAATGACCCATTCCAGTACATTTCTTAACCTCTTACGGGCCGCGCAACCACACTACTGAGATGTGCCTGTTGACTCAGCAACAGCACCTAGAGCCGTACATATTTTTTTTGTAGTCCAAAATACCCAGCCAATAAATCAGGATCCCTCTGTATGTCAGATAATATGACCATAGAGAACGATCTAAGGAATAAATCAGTAATAATCTTCTGTTGGGCAGATGAGTCTTTCGGCAACTTACATCAGTTCCATTTTCAGACCATAAAGAACGATCTAAGGAATGACAGGCATCTACCAAGTGTCAACCTGAAAGTTCCTCAACCTATATTGGCGTCCTACTACGCGAATACTCGACGGGTTCAGAAATCCAGCATAAGTTGTATAAGTTAAGTAAGTGGTAACAGCACCGAAGAGAGAATCCAGATATATATGGCATAGGATATATCAGTCCTTATACCAATATTATCACCACGCGAATTTGGGTTTAAACCACAGCCACTACGTGCATCCCGAAAGAACCTCAACCATCTGACCAGCCAGTAGTGCCAGATTATATGGTTCTCTGGTTCGACCCCATGTCAAATCATTCCAAGGAAAGGCAGAGGATACCTTTGATCATTACCAATTTATAGTTCCGGCAGACTTGAGGTATTGGTAGCACCTCTTTTACCCGGGATATTGCAATATATAACACCAAAATTTTACAAATGTAACATGCGCCCGGGAGGACTGCAAAGTCAATAAGGGGATTCTTATTAAGATATGTAGGCCATTAAGTAGGTTGGCTACTAGATATGACATTTAGTCTAATAGTCATTAGCGGCAATATGTTAAGCCTATTTTAACTTTACCATCAGATATGTTTATAGATGTGGCATGTTTATGATCCTTCTTGTATTTTATCATTGGAAAATGTTATCTCACTTAAATAAATGTTCCATCTTAAGCTCTATTACTTTCATAAGTGTGTTTCAGAGACGAGCAGCACATCAATTTTCTGCAGTTGCATGTGTTGTATTTATTTCATGCCTAGGTGGACTTTAAGTTATGACGAACTGAAAGCTTCGTCGATTTGAAGTTTCCAATTTCGCATAAACTTCCACACTCATCATTGCGGTTGGCTAAAATGTTACTAATTACAGTTTACCCAAATTTAATGCCACCTCTGGGAAAAGTTATATTAGTTTTGAACAATACTGCCCTGAAGTTTTTAAGACGTTCTGGTATCCCACAGTTAAATAATTCGTTTTTTTTTTTAATTTCATAAAGCACCTCCAAAAAAACCAAATTAATGTTTATTTTTATGTTTATCTCAAAGTTATAGAACATTAAAGACACTTAAACGTTTTTACCTTCAAACAAATTGTCGTTTAATTTGACTCTTTAAATTGTCTTTATTAAATAAAATCACACTTTTTTTAATCCCCACAAATAAGTTAAAACTATTAAGTTATAAGTTAGGTTTACAACTTAATAGTTTAAACCAAATTTAGCAAAAAACGTATTAACAACAATAATAATCGTAAAAAGCTTAAAAAATAATTAAATAAAACTAATTTCTCAATAAACAAATACAGAAGCTACCAAGTTATAAACCTTTAGCTGAAATAAGCATAAAGTATTAGTGTTATACTCGGCTATAGCGAATCTTATATACCCTCCATCAAAGCTTGCGTAGCAAATTTAAAGTGAATTTTAAATAGCGGTCTTATATACGGATGGGGTATTAGGTCAATTGTAGACCGATCTTCGTAAAATTTAGTAAAGAGATTTTGGTTTCTATAGACGGTGATCTCGTTCGAGCCCTATCATGTTTTTAAACGACGGATGTACTTGGCTAGATTAGTTCTAAGGGTATATTTTTGAGACAAATTACATCGTAACAACTTCATAATTTCTAATTATAAGAGTAAGAAAGTAATTTTAGGTCCATAGAGTTTATTTACATCGGCCCATATGTAGCGTTTACATAATAAAGTTATTTAACTTAAAAACAAATATAACTTCAATTGTACACTCAAATAGCATTTACTATAGAGAGAGTCAAAATTGCCTTTCATGCGTTAACAAAAACAAACAAATATTTAAAAGCTAATTAAAAGTTTCAAACTTAAAATCATAGCCCGTAATCACTAATAGAGAGCTAGTGATTTTTTATGAGTAAAAATGTGCATAATTTCGTTTTGATGTCTCGTTTATTCTCTTTACCAACTCGTGCTATAAACAGATCACATACCAGACTGGTAGTTAATGTATAATGATAAGAACCAGTGATGACAATAACAATTTGAACTTCACTTTTAAGCGATTTTACCTTTAAGTTTTCTTGATAGAAGAGGAATTTCGCTAGAATAGAATTATTTCCAAACACGGAAAATTTGTTTATCCGACAATAAAGACTTATAAGACGGGGAGTCCACAGCATGGTTAAGAGTACAATAACAAAGACCTCAAATATTACATAAAGGAAAGATCGGTAGAAACTGTACCGAACACTGGCAGTATGCATTGATATCGAAGAGGCATTCAATATCAAGGACACTGATACTCTTATTTAATCTATAGAATGGTTTCATGTTGACCGGGAGTTTAGCAACATAATCAACTATATGCTATAGGATAAGCTGTGAGATGTTCGATGTAACTATAAGGGCATTTTGTCCCCTTTACTCTGTGTAACCACGATTAATAGCCTTCAAAGACCACAACCGAGAATAGATGATGTCGTAATACTGCTAAGAATCTAAATTAAATGTGTAAAAGGGCTGAAGAGATCCAGGGAACTTGACAGGGAACTTGATACTCTTATCTAATCTGTAGAACAGTTTCATGTTGACCGGGAGTTTTGCAACAAGATCAACTATATGCTAAAGGATAAGCTGTGAGATGTTCCATGTAACTATAAGGGCAGTTTATCCCCTTTACTCTGTGTAACCATGACTAAACCAAGACTAAAGTCTGTCTTTTCACAAGAGTGACAGGAAAATTTAAAAGAATATAATGAACTTGCATAACATTAGAGAAAATACCCATAGGAATCTGTTGCTACATTACTTTCTCTAAGTAATTTTTGGACTATTCTGTTAACCTTTGGCTATACTACTCTTTCAGTTATCTATGGTCTAGCAGTTCCAATCTGTTCGTTGGACTGACTGTTTCTTTCACAGAGTATAAGAATTAAGTAATCAGTGGTCTTTCGACCACTTGTTTCTTTTTCGATTGCTGTACTATCTATGGGCCAACTAATTAATCCTTCAATAAACCTCAGAAAGTTTAATAATTCGGACATTGGAATGAAGGATCCGTAAATACTCTGAAACTGAAATAGCAGGAGTTTTCAAATTTTCAATATCTGAAAAAACAACGTCCTCAAATTTTTATTCGGAGCCACTTTAGTTCAATACGTATATTTAAGACAAAAACTGGGCGGCCGAGTAATAGGGGGCGTGGCTCCTGAGAAACTATTCAATCTAGAATGCTCAAATTATACACGAACGGCTTTGACATCCATGTTAATATTAAGGAATAAAATGAGCGGGCTTGCAATCGAGGGCTTAAATACAAAAATTCGTATATCTAAGAAACTATTAGAGCTAGAATCCTCAAACGGGTTTAGCAAAAGAAGGCGTGGTACTTCCCATATGAATTAAATGTAACAATTCGTATATCTAGGAAACTATTAGAGCTAAAATCCTCATTCTTATCCTAAATTTTGCATGAACAACTCTGACAGCCATGTGAACAGTAGGGGAAAATTGGCCGGACCATCTGCATACATATTGGCTATCGCCGAAAAGTATATTTTTAGTCACATCACGTCACGCCCATTAATTGACAATATCTTAGGACCATTCCATTTGATTGGTCCTTTCTTTATCCTATGTTAGCTCTAAATAAAAATATAAATAATTTAAATATATATAAATATGTTCCCTAGATATAGGCAGTTTATGGTGCGTGACGTGATGTGACAAAAGTAGACTTTTCGGTGGAAATGCCCATATATGAATTAAATACAAAAATTTGTATATCCTAAGACAGACGAACGGACGTGGCTTAATCGTCTAAGAAAGTGACATCCATCTGACATCCATGTGAACATTAGGAGGGAAATTGGACGGATCATCTATATAAATTACATAAAACAATTCGTATATCCTAGGACAGACAGACGGACATGGCTTAATCGTCTAAGATAGTGATTTAAATCCGATTGGTATACTTTAAGTTCTCGTATAACCATTATCACACACACATAAAGTGCTGCATTTACATTATATTTCATTAATCTTTTCTGACGTATTTTTCCTTAACGTAGCATTGACATCACTGTTATTAACATACATTTTAATATTGGTGTATATTGCGCATGCTTAATGTCATTACGTGATATTTCATTTAATGTTTATGTTTGTTGTTGTTGCTGCTGCTGGTGTTGTTGTCTCTGCCTGTTTGCTATGGTTTATGGTTTGAATGGTAACTCTATTTTGTTGTATGAGTTGAGGCCATATGAAAAATCAAAAAAAAATATATATTTTTGTATTTTGGCATTTTTTTACAAAGCAGTGAACTAAAATTTTGTAAAAAAAAATTACTATTCAGTTAACGATTAAACGTGCAAGAGTAAAGTTTCGAATTGAGACAAAGAAACGCAGAGAAACGTACACAAAAATAAAGTGAGTGCAAAATGGTGACAAATGAAAAGGAAATTAAAATCGATAATGATTAAATGAAAATTAATTAAAAATTTTAAAATAAAATAAAAAATATGAAAAATAAACTAAACTTGTTCAAAAAAACGCTGAAATTTCACAAGATTTTTGAAAAAAAATAAAATAAGTTAAGTTTAAGCCCACATTAAGACGTCAAGTGGCGCCAAATAGGTGAAACGAAAAGTAACGAAAATATTTTAAAATTTCGTAATAATAATTAGATAAATTTTATGTGTTTAAAACAATTAATGATATGTTTAACAGAAAAAAAGGTTATTTTTAACAAACAACTATTTTATTAAAAAAATTAATTAAAACCTCAAAATAACATGTTAATCTTAAAAAGACATAAAATTAAAAAAAAAAAAACATCAAAACAAACATAAAAATATTTTAGGAATGTGTGTATCTTTTCAAACCAACTAATTTTTATAAAAAATTTATTTAAATTTAAAATGTATTTGTAACAAGGCCATAACAATTATTACCAATACAATACTAAAATACCCCCACAAATAACGTTCAAAAATAATTTAAAAAATAAATAAAAAAAATCAGAAAAAATGAGAAAAAATGTATTTAATGTAAAAAAAAACTACAAACAATATTGATTATTGTTGTTAAATATACAAATAATAAAATATCAAAAAAAAAAAATAATAATAAATAAAATAAAAGTGAGAGTGTTTGGCAATTGTTTAACCATTTTTGAGCAGCAGCAGTGAACTAAAAAACCACCAACAACAACAACAAAAAACTTGATTCATTCAACGTTTGTTTGGTTATATTGCTTTTACGTTTTGAACTGACCAACCTCAAATAAAACAAAATTATTTAAAACAAGTTTAACACTATTCAAGCCATAATGGGTCAATGAAATGAAATAAAATGTATTGTTTGAAATCAATGGGATGATGATTGTTTTTTGTTAATGAAGTAATTAAGAAGTTGTTGATATTTAAATTTTAAATAATTATCATTTTAATATTTTAATATAAATAATTTAAAAGTGAAAAGGTTAAAGCAATAAATAAATTTGCAAACTTGTATGACATTTTATATAAAACTGCAATTCAGGATATTTGAGGAAACCCCTAAATGGGCTATCGTCTTAAAATGTTTTCACGTAAAATATTAATTCTTATATAAAACAAATAAGAGTTCTATATTCGGCTGTGCCGAATCTTATATACCCTCCACCATGATGTGTTCGTAGAACAACGACCTTATATGGGAACTATTCGAAAAAATTTAAGCAAAATGATTCATCAATACAGAAATAATAATAAAGTGATTTTCAGAAGAAAACCTCATATAGGAGCTAAAACCAATTATGGGCCCATACTGAAAAAATTCCGTATAATAATTTATATATACAAAAAACACATGTCGAATTTTATCCGATAATTTTGATTGTCAATGAAATTGTGCTCATAAGTAATTTTCGAAAGTGGACCTTATATGGGAGCTATGACCAATTATGGACCAATGTGAACAAAGTCGAATTTTAACCCGATAGTTTTATTAATTAAGTAATTATCGAGAGTGGACCTTATATGAGAACTATGACCAATTATGGACCGTTGCGAAAAAATTTCGCTGAATGATTTATATATACACAAAACAAATTCAAGTCGAATTTTAGCCCGATAGTTTTATTAATTAAGTTATTTTCGGAAGTGGAACTTATATGGGAGCTATGACCAATTATGCACCAACACAGATCTAAGTCGGTAGTATGATTCCGGTTCATATTATGTTAATATGTACAAAATTTTGTGTTCACACCGATATATTTCAGGCAGTTTCGGGAACATGTACCTTTGTATGGGGCTATGGGAAATTTTGGATCGATCACTACAATTTTAAACATAATTAATATGTGAATTAAAAAAAAACTCTGGCAAAATTCATCGAATTATCTTTGGTAGTTTCTAAGAAAACTATTCAAGAATTAGGAAAAAACGTAGTTTTTTTGAGGTAGTCTGAAATTTTTAGTCATAACTTTTTAAGTTATGAAACGATTTGGCTGATTTTCAATACTGCTTAGTTTTAACATGTTTTAACCAGACAGACAGACATAGTTGAATCGACTCAGAATTTCATAAGGACCCAGAATATATATACTTTGTTGGGTCTCAGATAAATATTTATTGGTGTTACAAACGGAATGACAAACTTATATATACCCTCTATCACCATGGATGGTGGTGGAGGGTATAAAAATCAAAAAATACCAGTTGGAAAATGAAAAAGTACTTGAAAGTCCCTTTTTATAGATCTTCGTTCAATCTGGGTGCTTGAACGAAAAACCAAAAGTACCAAAAAGTCATATTTTATATATTCAAATGCTTAA